TCCCCATTTAGACATCTCTGCCTTTCCAGCATTTGGTTACTTCTTCTTCCATCTTGCTTATTGATCCTTGTATGAGTCCTCATCTCCAAGTTCATTTACTTATGTTCCGACTTACTTACTAATGTGTTTCCACATGCTCGTACATAGCCTTGCTCCTTTGCTTACTGATCCTCTCAGATATTGTTCAGTATATAACCCCTGTAGATACTCCTGTAGTTCCTCAGTTTGAATATCAACTTAGACTTGCCCAACCTTCTCTCAGACTTTGGTTTACCTAAGTCTGTCCTACCCATCAGGCCTAGGGATTGATTCCCTAGGCTGGAGCTCCACCTTTCCAGCACTTACCCTCTTTCCAGACTTAGGTCCAATCCCTGTCCCTCTGACTCTACCTTAGGGTAGTCTACCCCTGCTTGTTTCTACATCGGACTTCATCCAATGTAGCCCCTATTCCTTCCGGACCTCCGGATGTCCTGTCCTTCAGACATTCCGCCCTCCTAACCCTCGGACATCCTATCCTCCTGTCCTTCAGACATCCTGTCCTTCATACCTCTGGACATCCTGTCCTTCTGTCCTCCGTCATCCTGCCCTCCTGCCCTCCTGTCCTCCTGTCCTCCGGACCTTTGGACCTCCTATCCTTCCATCCTGTTTCCTGTAGAAGTATTACCTTGTAGTGGGAACTCTCCTGAGCACTTCCTGTATTCCTCTGGAACTCTCCTGCGCTCCTCTGGATGTTTCCTGCGCTCCTCTGGAAGTCCTCTAGCACTCTCCAGCAGAGTAGCCAGCCTCCAGAAGTCCTCCGGACTTCGTCGGACCATCATTGGACCTCATATGAAATGAAGGGCACATACTTGGGTAAGGGGCACAGCGTATGAGCTGAGGCCAAGCCCCTCTGAGTCAGTCTCTCTCCCCCTTGAGCAACATGGTTCTTAACAGCCTCAAAGACCTCAGGACAAGAGACAGTGAGGCAGGCAATGATTATGCTATGACAACACCTGGTGTCTAAAGCTACACCAACAGTGCACAGAGCATGCAGGTCTTCCATGATGGTCTTGACAACATTAGGATGCTTTGAGAGGATACCAGGTGATATTGCCTTCACTAACAGAACATTGCCCTTCTGAACACAGGCAAGCACATTGGCATGCCATGCTGGTCATGTCCTGCTATGGTCTATTCAGCTTCCTATAACTTGCACATGGATCCCACCAAAGCAAGTGGGGTCAATTCATTTAAGCTCACACTTGATCTGCACTGGTGACATCCCATGGCCAACACAGAGAGTGGCCATCTCGATAGTTAGCCATAACAAGGGACTTTGCCAGTTGACATGCAAAGCATCTGTATCCTCCTGCTTGCACTTCTGGCCAAGGTTCCATGTACACTTGCTACAAGCATGCCTTTGCAATTGGCAATATGGACATGACACCTCTGCAATAGTGATTACTGGTGGCTGAACCTGAGGATTGCTGTCATGAAGAATGGAACCAATGGCAGGTTTCTGATGACAAAACATGTGAGCCATTAGGATGACTCAGAGTGAAAAGAAGACAAATGCTCACCTGCTTAGCAGCCTTTTCACATGCTTGCTGGTTTCTCTTTCACTCAGCTGCTCTTTCGCACTTGCAAGTAGCCTTCTCAAACTTATCAAATCCTTGCTGATAACGGTCCCACTCCTAATCTCTGAGCTCCCAAGCAAAAGGCTTCCAAGCATGTTGTAGATGCTCCTTGTGTGATACTTTCGGGAAGAACTTAAACAGACCTCTGTTTTGGTCTGCATCAGTTGTATGGAGGTCAACTTTTGTTTTGATGGATGATGGCTGGGTGGGAAGGGCAGGAAGGGCAGGAAGGGTGGGCTGAGTCTCTTCAACCTCAAGATCACATCCACTCTCCATATCTGAGGAACTCTCTTCTGGCTTGAAGTCACCACCATCGTCCACATCTGAACTATCTGTGCCATTGCCAGAAACTGATAGCCATAAAATCAATATTCAATCAACAATGTCGCAATCAGTTAGCATGAGATGTCCATACCTCAAGATGATCATAAGCAAGATCCAGAAATTCCTCCATGCGGAGGGAGAATGCTCTGTTGTTGTTGAACAAAGGGTCACCGAACACAGTGTGCTTGATGGTGTTGATGGCTGCAATTCCACACAAAAATGAATCCAGCTGTTCACCATGCTGTTGTTAAGAACCACGCTCAAAGGAGAGAGAGACTGACTCAGAGGGGCTTGGCCTCAGCTCATATGCTGTGCCCCTTACCTGAGTATGTGCCCTTCATTTCAGAGGAAGTCCGATGATGGTCCGACAAAGTCCAGAGGACTTCTGGAGGAGCACGGGAGAGTTCCAGAGGAGTGCAGGAGAGTTCTGGAGGAATGTAGGAAGTGCTCAGGAGAGTTCCCACTGCAAGGTAGTACTTCTACAGGAAACAGGATGGAAGGGTAGGAGGACAGGAGGACTGAAGGTCCAGAGGACAGGATGTTGGAGGGTAGGAGGGCAGAACATCTGAAGGTACAGAGGGTGGAACATCCAAAGGACAGGACTCCTGGAGGTGCACAGGACAGGATGTCCGGAGGTCCGGAAGGAATAGGGGCTACATTGGACGAAGTCTGATGTAGAAGCAAACAGAGGTAGACTACCCTCAGGTAGAGTCAGAGAGACAGGAAGTGGACCAAAGTCCAGAGAGAGGGTAGGTGCTGGAAAGGCAAGACTCCAGCCTAGGGAAGCAATCCCTAGACTTGGGACAGAGACATAGGGGACAAATCTGAAGGTCCAGAATTCCAGCCTAGGGAATCCATCCCTTGGCCTTACGGAAAAGGACAAGACTCAGATGGACTGAAGTCCAGAAGATGATTGGGCAGATCTAAGGTGATATTCAGACTAAGAAAACTACAGGAGTATCTACAGGGGTTATATACTGGAGAGTATCTGAGGGGATAGTAAGCAACAGAGTAAGGCTATGTACAAGCATGTGGACACACATTAGTAAGTAAGATGGAACATAACTAAATGAACTCAGAGATGAAGACTCATACAAGGATCAATCAGCAAGATGGAAACAGAGATAACTAAGAACTAGAAAGGCGGAGATGCCTAAATGGTGATAGGCGCAGGATCTCAGATAGAGGGTGGGAATGGTCCAGAGATAGTACAGTTAATATCCGGAGGTCTGGAGATCTGGGGATCCAGAAGGCAGGGCAGAAACAGGACTGAGATATGTGAGGTGGTGGATGTAGTCCAGAATCCGAGAGGAGGTAAAGTCCAGATGTCTTGCTGGACAGAATGTGCGTAGGGTGGACAGAATAGGGGATCCAGGAATGAGTTGGATATGGGGTCTGGAAATAGGTCCGGAAACCATGGGAATATGATGGGATCTATATCTGGCATACAGGATATGACAGCTGTAGTGTGTTTGCTTGTTAAATCCAGAGAGGCCATGATGGCCCAGCCAACAACAAATGGCATCAATATCATGAGCAGGCCAACTCCACCCAAGAGAATTAGCATATGAGATGGTTCAATCAATAGCATTGACCTCAATAGCAGCCCAATGGATGTCATGGATATTGATAGGAAAGAGGACATGTCAAAGTGTTCCTTCATGTAATGCAGAGCCTATGGCATGAAGGCACATAAAAGCCTTCTCAGTCTCATAGTTTGCCCACTGCTTCTCACTGAGCTGAAGTGTATCCATAAGGACAAGGGATTCAACACAGACTGTCTGAAGGTCTCTGTTTTTGGATGCTTGCATATGTTTGACTACTGCAGCAATCATCGTATCCATGAGGCAGGCCACCAATTGGACCTGATGCCAACAGCAGTCAGAGCCCACTAGTAGACAGATCAGTCCAAGCACCAACTCCCTTGAGTGGAACATCCCATGGGAGATGTTCTATGGCATCTAAAACATCGTCAATGATTTCTAACTTAGGGCAGTCACCCAAAACAGTGTCCAGTTGGTCTAAGATCCAGTCATGTGATGCATGCCAATCACGTTGATGCTCAAGTGCATGAGACATGGATACCCAGTAAGACAAGACCCACAAAGGAAGTGGGTCATTGGGGAATGAAGGGTGGATGACTGATTGATCTCCATCTTGCCAGGCAGCGCAATCACAAAGTGCAGTGGCTGTTGAAAATGTAGGAACTGATCGTGAAATGAAATCTACAGGGAGCTGGACCATAGGGGCCTGTTGAGAAAAGATTATATTGGTAGATGATGAATTGGTTTCAAGATTTGTGGGGAAGTTGAAGACAAGCAGCTGAGTAACTGAGAGAGTACAGGAAGGAACAATTGCATGAAACTTCACAGGAACACATGGTATTTTTTCATGAGTCATTTCAGACTCAGAGGCATCATGCAGACTAGCCATGGTACTGAAGAGCTTTGATAGGGATGGTTTCAGGGTTAATTGTCCTGAGAGCTGACTTATGCCTTACTGAACATTGGAGGATCTGTAGTGATATGACAGTACATATGCACATAGAGAAGCCTGAGGCCTGACATATCGACAGATGGGTGGATACAAAGTGCTCCATCACGAACACAAGCTTGAGGACCATTGATAAATCAAGAGCCTGTTGCTGCAGACACTGACAGCAGCTGCCAGGCAGTGGTGACAGTTTGAAGCTATTTCTGAGGTGTCACAGGTCACAGCAGTCTTCGAATCTTTGAAGCTAAACTTCAGTTGGTCACACCCAGATGACATCGAAGCTAAGTGCATATCTCTACAGTAATTTCAAAGATTCAACTTTGCAAGAGTGTATTACAAGTGTACAATGATATGTGGTCAAGCAGAATATGATTTGAAGTAGAGTTGAGTGCGATATTGCAAAGTGTCCGAACCAGTGGTTGTCCGAAGTTGTGGTTGTCCGAAGTTGTGGTAGCCGATAGTAGCCAGCAAAATAGGACCCCGCCGGGAGGATTCAGAGAACAAACAGCTCCAAACATGACTTCGTAAGTATCGTATAACGCTAAATCACGTAGAGTCAGGCATAAAATGAGTCTCAGAAAGAGGTATGTATATATTGTCTTGCTTGGAATCCCTGGTTAACTTTTCCCAGCAAGCTTGATTTACTCGTCCGCGTCCGTTATTCAAATCCACTCCCCGCGCCCCCATATCCTCCAAAACTACTTGATATCACTACGAATCCGTTACGCTATGCCCAACCAGCGTTCATCAACGCAATCACAAACGACACACCTCTTCCGATGATTATTGACGCCGAATGTGGCATGCCTCTGGACCTTGGACGCTGGGAGTGTCTATGGGAAGAGGATGGGAATGATACCAGTACGTGGCTCCTATAATGGTCGTTCTTAGTAGCTAATGCCCTACAGCACTGAATCCTGACCCGGATAACTTGCCTTCCCTCGACCCAAAAGATCGCTTCCTTCTTAGTGACCCTTCAGCATCTGCTGCACCCTACCCCAATGGTCCAACAATATCAGGGACGTTGTCACCTCTCCCTCCACACGTACCCTGGCTCCGAAAAACGGAGTATCTCAGCCGCGAAGGCGTACAGCGCACTTCATCACACGAATCGTGCGCCATCCCTTTTATTGTATTCTACCTAATTCATTGTCCACAGGAAACAAGTTCTCCAACCTATCGATGTCTCACATGAGGCGCAACTTTGTACCATCGAAGCCGGCTTCGCCGCTTGTACATCCCTTGACTTGATCACACTCTCTCATCCCAACAAGGCCGGTGTCACCGCTGTCGAGTCCTACGAGGTGCTCCCAGATGCAGACATCTGGGCCAATGCATACGACTTGTTCCGTTTCAGCGAGCGCCCCGGCGAACGACCCGCAGACACGGAAGACCCACGGCTGGACTGCGCGATTCTGCGCCCGATGGAAAGTGACGGGGATCACTTCCTCGCATATTACTTGACGAAGGAGGACGCCGATGCCCTGGAATTCAAAGAGGAACGATTGGCACCGAAAGGGGGCGACGAGAACGGGTCAACGGCATTCCACTTCATACGCGACTACGAGACCGTCAAAATCGAACAAGAAGTACCCAATGAATTTTTACTTCTTCTTGACAATGGAGACACAGGCGAGCGCAGGCCAGGCGCATATTACAAAAATATCGAGCGCAAGATGACGCTTAAGAAGAAGCGGATGAATGTAAGTACATCTCTCAAGACTCTACGCACCCTTTCGTCCGCGCCCCATGACTAACAATTGTCCGGCAGCAAAGCGATACCTATGCAGACAAGTGGCAAGTTGTGCATATTTCACACGTGCCCATGAGCAGCGAGGAAATCGACGAGCGCAATGACGCTCTCTCGGAAGTTGTAGATCCACTGTACCTCTTTTCGCGTGATGCCGAGGGTGAGGTAGATGCGGATGGCGAAGTGGACGTCGGGGGGATAGAGATGGGTGCAGAAGGAGGTGCAGAAGGGGGGATTATGGCTGAAATCTTTTGATTTATGTGCTACATAAGCTGTTCTACACTCCATCACTGTCGCGGGGGCAGATTCAGTGTGGTGTAGGTGCACATTTTAATAATTGTATGCTCGTCCCGTTACTGTGCACGATGAATGTGGGTATTGCCCTTTGACCTTAAAGCAAACGAGTCGCGAGAATGAGAACAAAGGAGGACGAACGGTGTAGAACAGAATAGATCGTGGTTTAAGAACAGCTCGGAATCAAAGAACTTAAGTCGATAATTGTAGGCCATTCATAATTTAAGCTAACAGCTAGCTCTCCGACTTCGCACTGTGCCACAGTATTGGTGTTTAAAATACTCCTTGTAAGAGCTACACATGTAAACAGGTTCCAAGTCCGTTCAATAATGTTAATTAGTCCTTATAATGCAAATAGCATCATCACCACAATGACAATCCCCAGTGCGATGTTTTACCTATCTGCCCCAATGCAGCGCTTCCCTGGTGCCTCGCCGACGCAATCATCACAGAGGCGTGGTAGTAGCGGTTGCGATATAGGTATTCCATGCTTCCACTGTAGCGGTTGGGAAGTAATATGTGGATTCGGTAGTTGCTGAGCCATAGTAGATGGCAGCCTGTCCTGTCATAATCTCATTTGCCAGAGAAGAGACCTCGCCACCTATGACAGTCACAGATCCCGAGGAAGTGTTGGTGACCAGCCCAGTCTGGTTACTTCCAAAAACAAACTCCCTGATGAAGACGAGACCCTTGGGAGTTTCTGCAGTCTAAATTTATGAATTATAGACGAAGGACGAGACACACCGATTGGGGATTTGTGTATCCAACGAGGTGGCCTGCATGATCAACAAGGACATAAGTCCAGTTGCGTTCCTGATGCACAATACCAGCAAATTCGCCATTATCGTTATACCATGATGTTGACGGTTTGCGCGTGAAGCCTTGAATCCCGCCAAAGGTAGTGTTCTATGCGCAATGAGCTGATATCCCTTTAGTTTATCGTTCAACATACTTGGATAGTAACTGAGGAAGTGATTAACACTTTGACATGACAGATAGTGGCTACTCACTTTGTGAACCAAGGTGAGGAATGAGTGAGTCATCATTTCCGGAGAATATAACAACAGAGACATTGCGGGCTGTGGCATTCGTGGCCAAGTCCGTGAGGAATGCCATAGGTCTGTGTTACGCGGTAAGTACCGAAACCGATGAGGTATACAAGGATTCACTGACTCGACACCTAGAAAAGAGCTCAGTCAGAAAGAAATTATATGCGAGAGGACAAACATGAGCTTACTCGGATCACCATTAGCATAGTCTGAGTCAGAATCATTAGTCAAAGGAACCCTTGTACATAGTCGCTGACTAACCGTTGCCGAATGGGTAGTAGATGGACTCTGTCCAATTCATGCTTGTTGGTGCATGGATAGCAGCGCGAGTTTGTGGGTCGTTCAAAAAAACCGACCCATCCATAGGTGCCTCAGGGTTTAGCGCATCTGGAATGTTATATACCTACGACCTGCAATGAGCACAGCAGCGAAAGCAAAAATATTACTCACGTCGAACATCCCTCCAGAGTCCTTACTGAGTGCTATCCTCTCCATAAGCGACGGTCAAATAATAAAAGCAACGAACATACACCACGGGAAGGTGAAGTTGATGGCATAATCCAGCATCTCATCGTAAACATCGCACCCGTACCATGCATCTATGGTGCCACTTGCACGACCAGTTAGATCACGTTTCCAAGCATCCCGCGCTCGCACGCGCTCATGTTTAGACAAACTAGTGCTCCGCTTTGCTAGACGTGCATTGTACCTCTGTTCCATTTCGGCCAAAAATAGTTTCTTGGAGAATTGACCTTGTCGGGCTTTGTATCGCCTCGATGCCGACATATCAGATGAGTTAGGATTTTCTCCAACAGTATAAGTCAAGGTTGGGAAGTGTCCGTTTTGAGGATATTCAAGGGTAAGATTATAGCCGCAAAGCGCTTCTCTGGGGAGAGATTAACGAAATCACAGGAGTATGATTCAGGTATGAGTACGAACTGTTCACGGAAGTACTCAAAGACATCAGTGTCGTACCCGATCACCTGCGGGTATGTCTCAAGGACACTAAGCTTTAGAATGTGAACACTACGAAGTAGGTTGTCTTGCGAGTAGAAGGCTCACCACCGGGAGGAGTTGAAATGTCTCTCCAGAGGCAATAGAGCCATCCCGATAGCTATCTTAGCCAATGTAACTGGCGGATTCTCCATCTCGAAGTAAGCTTTTGTGATGTAAGGCTGTTCCGAATAATGTTAGTTCTGCACATGCAGCAAGACAATACACTCGCTATATACATGCCGGCATAGCTTTCACCCGTTAGATGCAATGGGCGCTTAGCCAAGCCGGGGAAGACCTTGACAAGATTATCCAAGAACCCAAACTGTGCACAGTCAGTGATAGCAAGGTGCGAGTATGATATGTATACTGACGAAGTCCGCTGCCATTTGATCCTCGTCAAAAACTGAAGGGGTATGTAAGCTGAGGCAAGTCTCATAGGACCCAAACGTACTATACCCAGTGGAATCAGCAGTTCCAAAACCAACGCCGCTGATGATTTCTATTGGAAAATGGACATCAACACAAAACATAACACTTACACTGGCTGGTCTATCCAGACGTAGTCTGCTACTGTGCTCCATGCGTACTGGTTTTCAAGCAGCGAATAGTCGTTTTGTACTTGGATCGGCCCATTCTTTCGCCCATTGTCAAATCCAGAGTTGGCAACGAGGAAAGTAAACAGAAGACAGACCTCAAATAATAGGCCAACGAGACTTGATGAGCCGGGTCTGCAACGGTCTGAGTACCGACAATGAATAGGTAGATATCGTATCACCCACCCTCCATTTAGCCAAATACCCCACGGTGCGTCAGTCGAAGTAGAAGTGAAAGAACCTTCCTCGCTCTCAAATGCCCAGAAGAATAAGGTATCATTGGGATGACCCTCTCTCTGAACAGGAATGTTCCCTGCCCAATTACGAGCGAGAGACCACGTAACATTTGGCAGATTCTCAGTCACTTGGAAGTCTAAGTATGTGGTGAGCGTTCCTATTACGGGCGCGATCAAGGCTTGACATACAGTCCTGCCACTCCGTACTGTAGCTACCATTCGGCATTCCCGGGTATACTTGAGGCCAGCTGCTTGGGGGAGTGCCAGAGGTCTGTTGTGCCTTTGCAAGTAGAATGAATGAGGCGACAGTGGCGAAGACAATGGCGTGCGACCGGGACGCCATGGTGAAGAAAACGAAAGCAGCAAGAAGCTGATAATTTACGAAGGTGACAGGATGTAATGGTTAGCTGCTTTCTTTTATATCAATGACCAGGAGGACATGGGGCACCGACGGTTAGCTTGCCGAAACATGGATACAGTTTAAGATCATCTCACACTATTGTCGGCGGGAATGTACCGGCTTCATTTGCTACTCGGACAATAGCCAGAGCTCGATGCTTATCGGATTCGGTTATTGTTGGCACCCACCGATACATCGTTACACGGGAGAAGGGACAATGCCGCTGCCACGTTCGTGCAATGGCCGCCAAGAGATCTCGTATAGAAAGTTCCGCACTAATAGACCGCACCAGACTGCGTGCATGGATCATCATGCCCTGGTCCATGTGCAACAGAAGCCATCAAAGCGCTGACAAAGTGCACTGGAAAATATTATGCGAATAGCCTGATCTATATAAAGAATCTTCAAGGAGAGAATTACGGGACCGTCGCCAGAAATACGAAAGTTAAGGGGACGGTGGACATCGTGTGACCGTTAAAGTCGGTTCTTTGTCGCTGCGATGGGTGCAAGGGCGGAGGTCAGGATGATTCCTTGCACAGTGATGGCTCTACGAGATGTCATGATCTTGGACTCTCCCTTTCATTACTAGCGCATACCTATAACACAAACAAAAAGTGATAAAGTGATTGTACTACTAGTTTCCTATAGATGGTCAAGTCATTGATCATAGAAGATGAAAGAAATCTAGGTCGTTCTTCATCTATAACACTATCAATGGGATCCGATATCACCGCGGAAGAAATCGCAAAAGCTGCAAAAGTTGCATTCGAAGAATCTCAGTTACTTCCTGCTGCTGTCCGAATAGATGCCCTCGCGAAGATCAGACAGCAACTGGAGGCTAACAAGGCTGACATACTCGCAGCAAATAAGCAAGATATGGAGGTGCAGCATCGTTTCTCGCCTAAAGATCCATAATGAGCCTCACACATTCTCTGCTTGCATACCAAGGCGGCACAAGTCGAGGTTGATGCAGGCAGGATATCCAACGCCATGATGAAGCGTCTCGATCTCGGAAAGGGCGATAAATGGGATTCCATGCTAAAGGGCGTGCAAGATGTGGCAGACCTTCCCGATCCAACTGGAGTCGTCTCCTATGCTTCACAGCTCGATGACGATCTCGAACTGTATCGTGTCTCATGTCCGATAGGCGTTCTTCTCGTGATTTTTGAAGCGCGCCCTGAGGTTGTGGTAAATATTGCAGCTCTGGCGATCAAGTCAGGTAGGCCTGTTATCTCCAGCTTGTCATGTGTGCATGCAAACCGGCGATGATTTTCAGGAAACGCTGCGATCCTCAAAGGCGGAAAGGAATCAAATCACACAACACGTCTGCTTGCCAAGGCCATTTCGCAGGGATTGGCACAGACCTCACTTCCGAGCACGTATATCCAGGCTATCCAAACGAGGGCAGAAGTTTCTGCACTGCTGGATCTTGACCGCTACATTGACTTGGTCATTCCCCGCGGAGGTAACAGTCTTGTGAAAGCCATTCAGAATAGCACACGGATACCAGTCATGGGACACGCGGATGGACTGTGCCATGTCTATCTCGATGAATCCGCTGACCGTCAAAAAGCCGTCCGCGTGGTTGTTGACTCAAAGGTGAGCCTCCCAATTGTTCAGACAGCGATCATATTCTCACGATAACACATGCTAGACGGATTATCCATCTGCTTGCAATGCCGCAGAAACTCTTATTGTGCATACCTCTCTTCTGAATACGGTGTGGCGAGATGTTGCACAAGCACTCTTGGCAGCAGACGTTCATCTCTTATGTGATTCACATACCTTGACAGCACTCGCCTCACTTCCCATCATCCCGGAAAGGTTCTCGAGTCACGTCCACTTCTCCACAGAATCGTCCTATTCTATCGAGCACCTTGATCTTACGATATCTGTCATAGCTCTGCCCTCCCTTCATTCCGCAATTCAATTCATCAACTCTCATTCCTCCCATCACACGGATTCTATCATAACCGAGTGCGAACATGCGGCGTCTGCATTCTGCAGAGGCGTGGACTCCGCGGGGACTTTTGTCAATGCTAGCACGCGTTTCGCGGACGGATTCCGCTATGGCTTCGGAACTGAAGTTGGAATCAGTACAGGACGGATACACGCTCGTGGGCCAGTAGGTCTCGAGGGACTTGTCATTTACAAATATATAATGAGGAGCAAAGCGGAGAAGGGTCACATCGTAGGAGAATTTGGGGTAGGAGAGGGGAAGAAGAACTTCAAGCATGCAGCAATTGCGACAACCAGTGTACCATTCTAACACAAATGACTAACGCAATAGTTGGGGTAAATCATATTATGTCGACAAATCCTATGATTGTGCATCCTCTTCCAGTTTTGCCTTCTTTGCAGTAGAACTGCCGTCATCTTCTCCGTCATCTGCTCTGCGTTTAGCTGGTGCATCTACTTCGGTAGCTTTCTTCTTCTTCTTCACAACCAATGATGTCAAGTCGTTAACTACTGCTGGTTGGCCAGGGACAGATATCGGCTTAGCATTCAATTCCGCATCTAATGCTCTTGCAGCCATTGCAGGGGCAGACTCTGTTGGCTCACTGGGAGTTGTTTTAAGTTCCTCCACCTATGCAAAAGCACTGTCAGTTTACACTTCTTGAACCTGCATGGGCTCACCTTCAGCGCGAGGTCTTCTTTCAATCCTTCGCATTCCTTAATTTCGGCTTCCATCTGACTCTTGGTCAGATAGCGCACGCTATCTGCGTGTACGCCGGAGGCGACAGCCTTGCCCTTGCCCTTTTTATCTGTTTTGGTTTCCCGAATGGGTGCAGGGAGCAACTTTCCATCGATTCCGTCACGGAGTTCTGCTAGGCGAGCATCAACGCTTTCCAGAGCCTTCTCCGCGTGCAAGATAGCATCTGAAAGTCGCCCAGACGTTAGGTCAAGTACTATACTGAGCTTATAGTGTGCTTCAGCAATTTGACGCGATGAAATCGGGAGAAGATCGAGCTTAAGTGCGAGTCCCTCTGAGTAGTCAGTGATGGCTTGGTCGAATTTCTCTATAGGATAGTCTGTTATTATGCGGATGCTTAGCCGAGAAAAGGTGGGCGTACCCGTCTCGAGAGATACATCTCCGAGGGCAATATATGTCTCGGCAAGTTTCATCTTGACTTCGTCATCTTCATCCTTGCCTTTCTCGTAAATTGCACGCGCAAGCTCCAAGACTTCCCATGCGGCATTGAAGTCATCTTCTGGCTCTCCATCTTCCCCTTCAGCATCCTCTTCATCACCCTCTTCTTCTGCAATTGCGGCTTGACCGAAAAGGTCGACGCCTTCATCTGCATCTCCGGAAAAGGAGAGAATAGGACCCTTTCCATTGGCGCCAGTGCCCGAGGCTAAACGATGATCAGCTGCAGCCACAACGAAGTAAATCAAATGCGTCACACACGTTTCCCTTCTGCTTCATCTCCGTTCTCGGGCTGCTCCTTACCCAAAACTGAAGCCTGCGATATCGCGTTCTCTAACAGTGCCTTTCCGTACGAGAAGTAGAGATTAGCTGTTTCTGGTGCATCTTCGCCGTGCTTCTTTGTTCTATGGACGAAAGACACGTAGCGCGTCAGAGCTACGGCTTAATGAGTTCAATTTCGATCACGTACTGAAGTTCCAGGGCAGTAGCATAGTATTCTACTGCTTGCTCGTATTTTTTTAGGGCGAATGCACGTCTGGCGTGTTCAAGAGCAGTTTCCACAGACATCTCTGGTGCAGACGCGTCGGTAGTATCTGTCCTCGCTGCATTAGGCTGTTCGCTGCATTTACGATGATTTCTGTCAATAGAGTACCAGGTATCTTCGAGGCACAACTCACGAGGCCATCTTGGAATGACTTAGACACCTGTAGTGGTAAGGTTGGTGGCGCCGTGACAGTAAAAAAACAAGGTGCAGCCAGCGCCGGGAAGCGTGGATTGTTGACGCGACTTCCGATCACGGTGTCTCGGGGTCTTTGATCAATGCTCAACTTGTACAATAGAGTCCTCAGTACTGCGTCTGCAAAGCAAAGATTGGTATTCAAGACGCTTGCACAAGCTCGACTACTAGATTATACAGGAGACTGGTAAAGAAGAAATGAAGAGGTCCAGGCAGTGTGATATCCGAGCGTAAACAATAGTGGGAAACTTGAGCGAAAGATAGCGATAAGAGACAGAATCGAAAAAGAATAGATGCGTGAATGAGACAGTGAGAGACAAGTTAAAACTAAATAAGTGATGCGGTCCCGCTTTGCTGTTGGAAAGGTTGCTGTGGAGGATCCTGGACTCCAGGATATCCAAAAGGACTCCTTCCGTAACTGGATCCAAAGGATGAGGATCCGTTAATTCCACTGAACTGTGACAGCGAGCTCATAGTGGGCAGCACAGATCCACCTCCGGCATTGAGCGAAGATGCGGCATACATCGTAGCCCTGAAAGGGTTGGCTCCACCGGTTGCCTGGGGTCTGAGACCAACCCCTAGCGTGGGTCTCGTGTCTAGTTGTGAACTAAAGGCACCAACTCCAGTCGGCTGCTGTCCGATGTTCAAAACACCAGCGCCAAAAGCAGAAGTTGTCCCGCTCGGTGCTGGTGAGGAAGACAAATTACCGGGCGTACCAGTGGCAGTAGGAGTAGTGGGGCCGGACTGTGGTATTGGAGGCAGTGATTCCAACAAAGAAGCCCCAAAGGACGATGTAGGTTTAAATGGCTTGATGCCACTATAGCCGGTCATTTGGGGTTTTAGCTGGTCACCTGAAGGCGACATAGAAGGAGTGGCAGAGGTAATGGTGGCACCTGTAGGTTGCGTGGACGGTGGAAAGAAAGAAAACAAAGAATCTGATGCAGTCGTGGAGGTCTGTGGGTTGAGTATTCCAAAACTACTAGGGCTGAATTTGCTATCCTCTGATTTTCGGCCGAACGCAAAGGACGAGGCAACGCTCGATATCGATGACTCGCCACC